TTCTCCTAATCTAACTCCAGTATTGGGAGGTAGTAGTGATCACCATCCAGGCATTTGTATTATGACTGTTAGGCTGGATGAGACGAACTATATGGAGTGGGTTCAATTAGCTTGTATACATATCACTGATCGTAGGATGATCGACCATATCGAAGGAACTGTCACATATCCCTCCAAGAGCGATCCTGAATTCAAAGAGTGGAGTTCAAATGATGCACTAGTTATAACGTGGTTGTTGCAGTCAATGCAGCCACAGATCAACAAAGGGTTTTTGTTTGTGAAAACAACTAAAGAGCTATGGACAGCTGTGGAAGAGACGTATTCCTCGGTTGGTAATTTTGTAAAACTTTATGAACTCCAACAACAGATTTCAAGATTCAAGCGGGAAGACCAAACTCTTGTTTCATATTACCACACTCTACGTGGTAAATGGGAAGAGTTAGATCACTACCAAGACTATATACTTGTGTGTGAAGCTGATGTTAAAGCATTTCGTGCGATGGTAGAAAGTTATCGAATCTGTGAGTTCTTGGGTGGTCTGCATCTGAGATACGAGCATGCCAGGGTAGAATTGTTAGGCAGGTATCCAGCCCCTACTTTTGTTAGAGATGTGTTTTCGTATATCCAGGCTGAGGAGAGTAGAATGAAGGCTATGTCTGCACCTGTATACGATAAGCCTGAGCCAGAAGTACCATTGTCTGAGCACACAACAATGGAACAAGCCCAATCCTCTAAAAGGAGGGACGCAGGATGATAAGAGCAAGTTGAGGTGTGATCACTGTGGGCGTACGCGCCACACTAAGGAAATAAGCTGGAATCTACACGGTCACCCTACTCCAGCTCCTGCTTATGCGAATGCTAGGCCAAGGCCTGATCCATTTAGGGGGTTATCTTCGACACATACTGCAAAGCGTGAGACTGCTTCTACTGGTCATGTCTACTTAGGGCCACCGAGTTCTTTGTCCGGGGTTGAACTTGATGCCCTCCGACATTTACTAGCATAACATTCCTCCATTTCCACCTCTAACTTCGCTCAGACAGGTACCTCTCATTCAACACATCAGGTTTCCACATTATCTGGTGGGCCACCCTAGATCATTGATTGTGGTATGGCATTTGATATTTCTTCGTACAGTTTATATTCTGGTAAGGATAAGGTTAAAGTGGCTGATGGCACCTTCGCCTCCATTGTGGGGAAGAGCACTGTTTCTCTGCCAGTCACATAAAAGGCTAGAATTGTAGTGTAACCTTTTTTCCATATCACTATGTGTTTCAGGACTTGGACATGGGGAAGACGAATGCAAGTGGACATGAGGTTAATGGCTTGTATTTACTAAACGCGAGGCCAACTTCTTATTATGCTGCAAATTGATCTATTGTTAGGAATAGTAATTTCAATAAAGATCAGTTAATGCGGTGGCATAATAGACTAGGTCATTTACCTCTTCCTGTTTTGAAGCATGTGCTTCCCTAGTTTGTTTCTGTTGAATCTTTTGAGTTAAATTATGAAACATGCGTTCTTGGCAAACCATGTCGTGTTTCTTATTCCACTAGTATCAACAAAAGTACAGCTCATTTGCAGTTTGTTCATTCTGATGTCTGAATCTACTACTTCGTTACTTTGTTGTGTTTGTTGATGACTTTAGTCGATATACTTGGCTTTATCTTATGAAAACCATAGATGGAGTTCATTCCATTTTTAAAACCTTTCATAGGATGGTATGTACTCAGTTTGGTTATCCCCTCGAAATCCTGTAGCATATTGGTCCAAGGTGGCATGCTATGGTATTAAAGAAGATAGAATTGTAGAGACCTTGAAGATGTGATAGAATTGACCTGATGGAGACCAATTATCATAACAATAGTGTATTTTCCTCCCACTGCCCACTCTGTACTTGATCAGCTTTGCAGCATTATGTCTCAGTTGAAGCATCTTTCTCCATCTCCACGAGCATCTTTGAGGTATTTTCACCGACCAGAGACTCTTATTTTTAATAAGGAATGTATGCACCCATTTAACACCATAGACTCTGTGGGTTATTCAGCGACAGAAGCCATAGAAACCTAGTAATGGATGCCATATTTTAAAGCACAGAGGTTTGCAATGCCAAGACCTCTTTCAGATTTAGGTCTGCATAGCTTATCCCAAGCAACTTTTGCCCCTCCTTTTTTTCAACTCAGTGCCAGACTATAGGAAGGATCTGAAAGTAAAATTCAATTCTGAGATGACCTGCCTTGGTAGGATGAAGTGACTGGACCAGAACTGCTGGATGCTACATATGAGACAATTAATTGAAGTCAGCCTGCATAGGAGAGTTGTCTGCTTGTCCAGTGCTGAATTCTTGCTGTTATTTTAGTCACAAGCACCTTGCAATCATTAGCTTCAAGGCAGGTAGATGTTAGGAGAACTCCCAATGTTTGACTGGAAGTGAGCCTTTATCTATTCCTAGTATAGAGATGTGGTATAGAACAGTGGCAGCAAGTAGAGGACAGTGGCAGAAGCATTTTAAAGAGGATTCTAGAGCTCAAGCCTTGACTTGGCACATGTTAGGTGAAGTGGGGTCCACTTGCAGTCTTGCATAGTTGGGGGGATTGGGTCAAATTGCAAAATTTTGGTAAATTGCATCAATTATGGTGAAATTGCATTATTGTGGTAAATTGCATTATTGTGAGATAGGAGCTCGAATTTCGCAGCCTTTAAACAAATCAGTAGCCCTTGAACAAGAAACTGCATTTAGTACTAATGATGGCAGAAAGTGGCAGCAGCAACAGCCTTTAAACCCTTAGCAATGGTGTAGTTTGAAGGCTGATCCACCACTACATCCCATGTTGGCGTTTCCAAGAAATACTTCAGAGGTGAATCATCATGAGCCACATGATGCCGCTGGAGATATTCCAAAGAAGTCAAGTGATGGAACGTGCAGCACAACGACAACAACAATGCTGCCAAATGGTGGATCAAATGCATCTTTCTATTATATGGCTCATTCTGAAGGAAAGAGTACAATGGCTAGAAAAGTTCGTGAGAACCTGCTTGATGAGACTTGCAACACTGATCATCTGAAGGAAGTTGGAGAGAATGTTGCCTCCATCTCCGTTGTGACTCGCATCCTTGAAGACCCTAAAGTTGGTGGCAAAGATGGGCAGCAGACATCTAATTTTCAGATGCAAGTTCATCGTGGAAATGGATGAAGTTGCATGAATGTTGTGTCCGTAGCCACAATTGAGTGCCTCAAGCCTTCGATACAACCACGTCCACAACCATTCAAAGTGGCTTGGATAGATGGTACTTCTACTCTGAATCTGCCAAAAGATGCGGCTATTGGAGTAGATACTTGGTGTATATTAGTGGGCACTGCAATGAAATGGGAACATCCTTGTGCCAAGTAGCAACAGAAGCTGATTCAAACATCCACCAACTTGATAGATGAGGTCTGGAAAAACCAACTGCCAGAAGAAACTAATCCTGTAAGTGATAAGCTAGAGGGGGCTCGTTGTAACTGGCCATTGTTCCAATTAGATGTGAAAAATGCCTTCTTTCATGCTGATTTACTTGAAGAGATTTATGTGGAGCAACCACCTGGCTTTGTTGCTCAGGGGGAGTCTCGTCATGCTATATGTCGCCTTAAGAAGGCCTGTATGGATTGAAACAATCTCCAAGGGCTTGGTTTGGAAAATTCTGAGGCAGCACTTGTCTTTGGTCTTAAAAAATGTCAGACAGATCATTCGGTATTCACCAACACACCAGAACTGGTTTTATATTTCTTGTGGTGTATGTAGATGATATTGTTATCAAAAGTGATGATTATGATGGCATTGCTAGGTTGAAGTTGTTTATACAAAATCAGTTCCACACTAAAGACTTGGGTAAACTCAAATGTTTTTTGGGTATTAAGTTTGCCAGATACAAGGAAGGTATAAGCTTATCTCAAAGGAAATATATGCTGGACTTCTTGAGAGAAACGGGTATGTTAGGTAGTCGTCCTGCTACTCCTATGGATCCAAATATAAAACTCTTGCCTGATGAGGGTGATTTATTTGACGACCATGGCAGATATCGACGTCTAGTTGGGAAATTAATTTATCTCACCAGGCTTCTTTTGTTCTAGGCTTCAATACAAGAAACACAACCTCCATCTCTCTCTCTCTTTCAATCTTCATCGTTAGTTTATAGGCCTATTTATATATATAGAAGTGTATAACAAATTCTAAGGAAAAGATATATACAGATCATAATTCCTATAATATAGGAACTACTTATTTAAAATTTAAAAAAGTCAACTATCTAACTATAGATAATTCCTAAAAAATCCTTCCAATTCGACCTAGATCTTTCCACAGTGACTTATTTATGAAATCATGTAATGAGGTCTTGTGGGCCATTTCCATGTTATGATTTCATTTCCCTCTCATTGCTTAATTTACACGTACTCATTTTGTGGATCACTTAACCATGCCATGATATTGTTTAGAGTTGATTAGACTCGGTTTCAAGTCTCTTGGGCATGCATGAATGTGACTTAGGTGAGACATTTGGACATAGGCCTTAAGGAAGGATCATTTTCTCATGCACCGGGTTCCTAGAATTCAGGGCGTGACAATTAAAGCATAACATTCATGAGCAGCTCGTAATGTTCTTTTCACTCACTTGAGAAGCAGCAAAGTCCTCAAGGAAGTCAAGGTGCACCTTGTACTAGGGAAACATTTGTTCTAAAAGCTAAGGCTTTGATGGAACACTAATCGTTCAAGTGATGGTAAAGAAAAAGGAGCCTAAAGCTGCAACCCAAAATTCAAGATGTTTCAGGTGGGGTGATAAGGACTAAAGCTAATCAGTTTGATGTTGAAGAATCTTGTCCAGCAACACACTTGGAGGAAGAAGATGATGGAAGACTAAAAGGACCCAGCTAGGACAACAATTTTAATCAGGCCACATTCAGAAATAAAATAAAAAAGAGCTGCAATTTAAAATTTGGTGCTGAAACATTAGTTATAAAACTTACATGCAAATATGTGTGTCAGCAGTTATCATCTCAGCATGATTCAATGGCATCCTTGTTCGATCTACAAAGGAAAAAAAAAAAAAAAAACATAAGTAAATAAAAGAACTACACAATGCAGGTGAACGCCTAGTCATTCTAAAGAAAAAAAAGAGAGAAAAGACATTTGAGTTAGGTGACGCACTTCAAGGAAGCTATCTTGAATCAAGAGGAACGACTAATATAACATTTCTTTTTATATTTTAGGCTTTATGAAATGCAATGCTCAGTTTCAATGAACGAGCTGTAAAAGATTTGCCCAAAGAAAATGAGCTGAGAGAGCATCATTAAAGGCTTGCACATTTAGAGAAAAGAAACACAAAATGCCCAGAAGTACTATAGGTTGACTGTTGATGCCATATCAGTTAGTTTCACTTGTGAATAAGTGAGGAATACAATAACTACACTCTTCAATTCTATTTAGAGCATTTCTAGTGTTTCTGCTCAACAAGCTGAAAGTGTTTTAAATTTGAAAACTCTTCTAAATCCATTAGGTAAGAAAACAATTCTTTTAGGTAGCAGAAATTTTGGCCCAACAAAGCTTACTGCGAAAATGCTCATATTTGAAAGTTTGAAACTTTTCGTAGAGGTACAAATTGCTGGTCCCCCCCAAACCACCCCCCCCCTCCCCCCCCCTCTTTTCCATGGACAAGGTTGTCCCTTTCTATTTTTTGAAGCAAAAACCCCCTGTTTATATATATGTCCTACTACCATTGAATATCACAATTCAAGAGACCTAACCAAGCTTTATGTCCTTCAAACTCCATTTAATGTAAACCATTACCATTTTATTAATTTGAGCCAACTAATTTACGTTGGCAAATTTCAGTCAACACCTGGAGTTTGTATTTTGTTTCAACTTTTGATTTCTAGTTTCAAAAGTTAGTTAGAGTAGTTATTTGAGTTGGTTCTTTCCAGGGGGTGAACTGGAATTCAAAGTTTGGATCGAAAGGTAATTGCAACACTCACCAAACTAGGATTCATGTTCATGCACATTCATCAAATTAGGTGAATCCTATACCTTGATAACTACTACCACTTGCATGTTCAATAATATTCTGAGAGCTTTTGCAATCTGAAGTTTACAGCTGCATATTTGATGTGTTCAATGATTAATGATTATTGATTAAATTTAATCATTAGATGGAAAGTGAATGAAAGACCAACCAGTTTACCTAAAAGGGAAAGTTTCAAATGGCAGTCTGGGAGATATTTGTGTTGAAGAAATTGAAAGCAATAATAGGACTAATACTTATTTTAACAAGGTGGGGTGGAGGAATGTGATTGAAAATTTTGACAAAAAAGAAAAAGAAAAAGAAAGTGACAGGAAGAAGATAATATAAAAAAAACAACAAAAAATTAAGTGTGGTGCTATAAGAAAAGAGTGGCAAATTTGTGACAAGTTCATTGGTAAGGACAAGACTTGGCTGAGTTCCAATTAAGAATAGGATTGATGCGCCTGATTGATGGTATATACAAAGGGTACACACAAGGCGTAGTTTTTTTTTTTCTTTTTCTTTTTCCTTCTCCCGTTTTGTTCTTTATTGATTAATTAAACTACTGATGATTTTGTTAATAAATTTGTTTTTCATTACAGATTATTCCAGATGCTACAGGATTTCATAAAAATGGACTAAAGCATTCATTGCTTTGCGCTAAGGACTCATTTGGCAACCACTTTCTTTTACTGTTTTCTTTCTTCATAAAATTGAAGCAGTGTTTTGTTTTTTATGGCTACAAAAGAAAATAAAAAATATGTTTGGTAACATAAATTTGTTGCAAAAAAAGGTGAAAGCATAAAACAGAGAATGTGATCAACAACATCCATCTAATAAGTTGCTTATTCACAAATATGTCTATATGTTTATATGTCGAAGTGGCTCAAATTCATTGGCTCATTGATGTGTGTGTTACTGAGTGGAGAAAAGCAATGTTTGTGGCAAGGTGGTGATGTGCCAGGTCATTCATAATCATACTTTCTTGGTGCTGGAACGGGTATATGCATGAAATGTAAGCCATGTTCTATTTGTTAAGTTTCGACATGGAGAACATCAAATCAAAGGGGAATTAAATTCCCTCCCGGATTTTCTTACCCTAGGTGGCAGAAATTCAATGTTTCATTGACGTGTGTTACTAAATGGAGGAAAGGAATGTCTGTGGCAAGGTGGTGCAGTGTATACAGCAGTGAGGTGTATGTTGTGGTCAAAAGGAAATGCTTGGTCAAAGTATGATTATAAAGTGGCTCAGTGCCTGAATGAAGAAAATGTAAAGGTTAAGAAAAGTAAGAGAGAAGTAATGCCAAAGAAGGTTATAACTTGCCTATAAATATAGGCATAGTAAACAGAGAAAGTGTGAAGAAATATAGTGAAAACTGAACAGTGTGAAGAGAATAGAGAGTGAAGAAGAGAGAGAGAGAGAGAGAGAGAGATAGTGAAGAAAAGAGAGAAAGAGATAGAGAAAAAAGAGAGGTTAGTGAGGGCCAAGAGTGAGTGTATTCCTTTTGAAGAGTGTCTTCTTCTAGTGAGTGAGTGTAGAATACCTCTTGGTAACCTGTTGAGTGTTGTAATCTTCAGCTCTTCTTAAAATAAATTAGTTGTTCTTCCCCGTGGACATGGGCATTTGCCGAACCACGTAAATCTTGTTCTTTGTTGTGTGTGTGATTTCCATCATATTTTTCCTTTGTTGCCATTGCATATTTGTTGTGAGATCTTGGGCGGATAAATTCCTAACACTATACATATATATATATGTACATATATTTATGCATGTGTAGAAATATTTATGTAAGTATGTACATATCTTTATATATGTATATATACAAGTATATCTATGTATAGATGTATCTGTGTGTGTGTGTGTGTGTGTGGTGTAGGCAAATTTCATAACAAAAGCCAGTATTTTAACTTTAGCCTGTGATTAGGTTTTCAAAAGTATGTTTCTGGTGGTACTCGTGTCCAAGAGTACATAATCATGTATTTTTAGGTCTAATAACTAACTCACCAATAAGGTCTAACAATCATGTATTTTTGTCATAGTCCATTTTAGGGCACAATGCATACATGTTTTGATGCATGAAAAGACATTTTAAGCACTTAATGTTAGTTTTAGTGAAGATTTCAAGTTTTGAAAAGTGACGTGTGTCTTCAAAAATTCACCAGAAACAAACTATTTTCAATTTTGTTATGGGCTTTATATATTCAGAAACTAAACTTGATAAACTTTCTGACAAAATATTATATGCTTAATTTTAAGTCCGTTTGACTCCTCAGTAAAGTGTCGGAAGTCAGGCTCTGTGCAGTCAGCAGAAGCTGTTGATCAATCGAACAGTCAATCTACTGTGCAAATACACGTTTTCAACTCCAAAAAGGTTTCTAAACCTCCCATAACTCATCCAAAACATTCCTAATCAATTTCTAACAGTTCCTTTGGGCTCAAGTATAAACTTGTACAAAAAGAACCCATTAAAATATAATAAATCCATTTTCAAGTATCAACTTGTAGGAAAAGGACCCATTAAATTACCAATTTCTCTGTTGTTCAACTTTGTAATCCAATCTGAAATCACATCCTGAAATGTTCTCCCCATCTGTCTAATACACCTTTCTGTGATCTGAAAAACAACTAAAAAGTGAGTCCTATCAAAACTTCAACTAGAATCCATACAGCCCAAGAAGAAGGAAATAGAAAAAAAGGGGTCCATACATCTTGTTCATGCCGATTCTTTTCATGTGCCACATAAGGAATTCTACTGATAATACGTTGAGAGATCTGCAGAGAAAATAAATATCATATTTTCTTGTACAACAGCGTAGAGAGAAATCTAAGAGAGTACATACTTTATATGTGGATTATCTACTAGTTTCTCAGGAATAGGAATATTCATATTAAAAGAAAAGTCTTTATTTTAAGAAATCTAAGGACAAACCAATTCTCACGAATCAGAAAGCACTAATGTTTTTTTTTTTTTTTTTGACAAGTAAGAATTCATCAAAAGCGTTCAAAAGGGGAATGCATCCCTCAAAAACAACACAAGGCCGAATAGGGCCTCTAAACCCTCAACAAATCCAAAAACTCTACAAGCTAATCCAAGGATTTACAATTTCTCCCTAGGACCCAACAAAAAAGAGTACTAAGAATGGAGAACTTCAACAACCCATATGATTTTCCTTTCCTTCAAAGGATCTCCTATTTCTTTCAAGCTATAGACACTACCAAACGCACAAAACGGAGGAACCCTCCAAGAGTCACGAGCTTGGGTCCCCACCATACAACCTAAGCCTCAATCAAGCCTCTGGTAAAACGTGGCATAACCCAGTGACTCCCAAACAAACCCAAAAACAAAAAAAACAACAATCTAGGGCCACTGGGCAATGTAAAATCTATTTGGATTTATTTATAATATAGCCAAGGAATGTAAACATAAATGGTAAGAAAAGTAAAGCTTCTGTAGGCGATTTCATGTTTTTTATGCAGAGGCAATAAGCATCCTCCTCTTTTGGATGCTGCACTTCGCTCAAACTTATTCAAAGCTGCTTTCTTGTTAATAGAGTAGGTACCAACTTGCCATTGGTTTTCTTTTCTTCCATATGACATGTATTCCGGAGTTGGCAGTATTCCATCCTACCAAACAACATTAGTTTTGTTAGAATGTTTATATATATATATACTTATGTTGGGTCATTATGTAATTACATATAGTTGGTAGGGCCCTTGTGTTATTAGGTTAGTGTTGTATCTTTATATAAGCCTATGTAGGCTTAGGGTTAAGAGATATATGAAATACACAATACATAGAAGTCTGTAGTCACTCTCTCTCTCTCATGATTTTGAATATGGTATCAGAGCTATACAAATTCATGGGTGTGGAAAACTGTAATTGTGTTGTTCTTGTATAAGATCGGAATTGCGATTGTGGTGTTGGTGTCTCTGCCTCATTCGTCGTCGCCAGCAGGATTAAGAGCTCCTCGTTCATCGTCGTCAGATCTGAAGCCTCGTTCATCATCGTCAGATCTGAAGCCTCATTGCCGCTTTGGTTGTCACGAGCTCGCCAACATCTACTGTCGTTATTTGCAGAGGTGAGGTTAAGTTGAGAAAGACACGTCATATGATCAGACGCCCCAGAGTCAATAATCCATGGTGCAAAGTCTAGGCTATAGGATAAAGCATTAGGATTTCTACCTGTTTGAGCAAGGGAACCACTAGGAGTACCTAGTGAAGAATTGGACTTTAGCAATTTGAGAAGATGATCCATCTGCTCCTTGGAGAAGGGACATGTTTCAGCTTTGTTTGCCGAAGGGAATGAACGATTAGATCTGTCGCCCAGCTTGCTGCTTTTCCAGCTGGCTTTCCATGGATTTTCCAGCAGGTTTCTCGGGTATGACGTGGCCTATTACAGAAATCACACCACACCCGAGGCCTCTCATCCTGCCCTCTCTGATTGGTGGCAAATACCTTGTTCGCACTTGCATCAAATGCAACCAAGGCTGAATTCTCGACAGATGCAGCAGCTACCTTTTTTCCGAGCATGACATTTCTGCGGCTTTCTTCACGTCTAACTTCAGCGAAGACTTCACTAATTGAGGGCAAAGGCTGTTGGCCAATTATTCCTCCCCTAACTTCGTCGAATTCAACGTGTAGACCTGCAATAAACTTGTAAATTCGATTATTCTCCACCATCCTTTTGTTATGATTACAATCTTCTGGCGATTTCCACTCATAGTCATTGAAAAGGTCCAAATCCTGCCATAGCCGCTTCAAAGAATTGAAATACATGGTGACGTTGTCCTCTCCTTGTCGGATTTTACCAAGTTTTAGTGTCAACTGAAAGATTTGGGACTGATTTCCTAGATCAAAATACATCTGATTAACATTGTTCCAAAGTTCCTTGGCTGTCGGATAGCACATGTAATTGCAGCTGATATCTTCCTCCATGGAATTTACGAGCCAAGTCATGACCATGGAATTTTCCGCATCCCAGATTGAATACGCCGAGTCTTCTTTTTGTGGTGCCTTCTTATCTCCTGTCAGGTAACCAATCTTTCCCCGTCCACGGATGTACATCTGGACAGACTGAGGCCAACGCAAGAAGTTATCACCATTCAATCGAATATTGGTGATTTGGACAAAGTGTGAATCAGAGTTGGAAGCATGGGTTGCAGGAGTTTTTGATGGGGCAGTGGAAGAAGTGGAATCAGATGAAATTTCTGACATGGTGAAGGACGGCTGGAAGAAGAAAAAGAGTTTCTGTAAGAGTGGAGATTAAGTTCCAGCTCTGATACCATAAAAACGAGAAGAAAAAATATTACGAGAGAATTATTTTTTTGTATATTTCTCGTATATCAAAGAATTATACAGAACCTATATTAATAGGTGATACATAGTGTAAGAAAAGGAAACAAAAATAACTACTCATTCTAATCTAAAGTCAACTCTCCTATTTTGTACATAATTAACTATTTATAGCTAGAAAATCCCTAAGGATCCAGCAATATCTCAGAGCTAAATAACTACTTTTTTCAACAGATTTATATAGCAACCCGAAACCTGGAGCCTACTTGAGATATCGAATAATTCGAAGAACAATATTCCAACACTGAATCAGAACCTCTGCAACTTCCGGCCAAAAAGAACCACGAATTGATGATTCGGCCGTTGCTTGTGATTGGATCGCCGTCGCCTCCGCTATGTTGTTCCCTGGCATCTGTGAAGAAGAAGAATAGTGTTTGGCTACACGGTTATGCTATTCCAACCCTGGTTTACTAAAACCGGGATAGCAGAGACCCGACCCATTTGACCAGACCCAACCATTTTGCCTAGATCCGGCCCGTTTGCCCAGATCCGGCCCGTTTGCCCAGATTCGGCCCATTTTCTAGGTCCGGCCAAAATACAGATTCTGCCTTTTTTTTTTTTTTTTTGGTGGGTTCAACATGTCGTCCAATTTAGATTTGCTTTCTCCCACATCAGTTTTTGATTCTCCCATGACTTTTGTTAAATTCAATGGGAAGAATTACATATTGTGGGCTAAATCTGTTGCAATTTTTCTAAAAGGTAAAGGTCTTGGTAGTCATCCGACTAAAGATAAACCAAAGTAAATTGATGCTTCTTTTGATGCATGGGAAAAGGAAGATGCTCGGATCATCTCTGTGATGTTAACCAATATTGAACCCCAAATAAGTTCAACATTACTTTATTTGGATACTGCCAAGGAGATATGGGAGAGGTTGAAGCAATTGTATTCTAGGACAGGTAATATCACCCGTGTATATGAGCTCTGTAAGCAATACTTCAATCTTGAATAGGGTAATCACAGTATAGAAGAGTATTATTCAAAAGTTATGGGAGTCTGTGAGGAGTTGAATATGTATCAGCCCATTACTTCTGATGTTCGAAGTATGCAACAACAACGCGAGGACTTTAATGTTGTCCGTTTTCTTACTGGTTTGTCGTCAGCATATGAGCCTATTCGTGCACAGATTTTGGGCAGTCCCACACTTCCATCTCTTGCTGATGTGTTTTCTCGACTTCAGCGAGCTAAACTTGCAAGTGGCACCTCAAATTTGAATAATGGGCAGAGTGGTGAGTGTTCAGCATTGGTAGTTTCAAAGGGTGAACATAATGCTTACAGTGGAGGTCGTGGGGGACGCTCCACACATGGTGGTCATGATTCACCGGGAGGACGTGGCTGTGGCAGGGAATCACGAAAATGTACTCATTGTGGCCTTTCTAATCATACTGTGAATTTTTGTTGGGACCTTCATGGCAAACCATCTAGTTATGCAAATCAAGTTCCCTCTAAGAATGATGTTTCTTCTGGATCTTACCACGTAGCTGAATCAGATATGGTCATTGTTCCACGTGATGAGTATACTCAATTTTTGTCTTATCAACAAGCATCCAATTCATCTTCCATGGCTACTTTTGCCCAGTCAGGTACTGCACCCACATGTCTGTTGTCTTCCACTCGCAATCCTTGGATCATAGACACTGGAGCATCCGATCATATGACTGGATGTTCTTCTCTTCTATCTAACTTTAATTATGTACCTCCTTGTCAAAGTGTTACTCTTGCTAAGGTTTCAGGTTTGGGGACAACTCAACTTAGTGATTCCTTGTCTCTCTCGTCTGTTTTATATGTTCCTCAGTTTCCCTTTAATTTAATGTCTATCAGTAAGCTTACTAAATCTCTCCAGTGCTCTGTTACATTTTATCCTACTTCTTATGTGTTTTAGGATCTCAAGACAAAGAAGAAGATTGGTACAGGGCATGAAGCTGGTGGCTTATATTACTTTGATTTTGCACCTTATCCTATGGTTCTTCAGTCTTCTCTGTCTCTATTCCAGTGGCACTGTTGTCTTGGTCACCTGTCACTTCAAGTTTTACAGCGTCAAGTTCCTAGTCTTAGTCATTTGAAGTCCTTGTCATGTGAAGTTTGTTAACTTAGCAAACACCATAGCGTGTCTTTCAAGTCTAGGGTTAATAATCGTGTCTCTAGTCCTTTTCATTTGATTCATTCAGATGTATGGGGTCCAATAAAGCATTCTTCAATCAATAAATTTCATTATTTTGTGACATTTATAGTTTTGGAGGAAATTTCGTGGCGTTAGAAATCTCGGGCCTTATGGCTCAAAGAGGGAGACCAGAATACCAAGTTTTTTCCATGAAACCGCTAATGCTCATAGGAGGAATAATCACATTGGGCAGATGGGTGTGGATGGTGCGGTTTTGACTACTGAGGAGGAGGTGCGTAGCGGTATTGCCTCTTTCTACCA